CATTGATCCATTCCATAAAGCTATCAGAAGAAATCCTGACACCCAGTGGATCACCAAACCGGTCCACAAGCACAGGGAGATGCGTGGGCTGACATCTGCAGGCCACAAGAGCCGTGGCCTTGGAAAGGGCCATAAGTTCCACCACACTATTGGTGGTTCTCGCCGCGCAGCTTGGAGAAGGCGCAATACTCTCCAGCTCCACCGTTACCGCTAATATAAGTAATGTTTGTATAATTCATACCTAATAAACAATTTAGGACGGTCATGTCTGCTTAAAGGTGTTGTTTGTCTGTTAAACTAGTCTGCAGATTGTTTCATGAATGCTTTGTCAAATTATAAAGTTAAAAGTGCAATAATGTTTGAAGACTATAAGTGATGGTGTATCTTGTTTCTAATAAGATAAGCTTTTTTTGTCTTTGCTTTATCTTATTAGGGAGTTATATGTCAGTGTTTAAAACATGCTGTGTGGTATAATAGGTGTAAAATAAATTCTTTAAAAGAGGAGTGCTACAACTACCCTGTAGATTTGTTTTGGTGCATGTGATAAAACCTACAGCTTTACTGGGATGATGGCAATGCTCTGCTGGTTTTTTAACTGGATTTTGTTTAGAAATTTGTAGGGTAGGAGGAGGGTATCCTAACCCTATGTCATGATTATATGTAGAAAAGTGTGAGCTCATATAGAGCCCACATCTTTAGATTTAATCCAGTGTTACATTTGTTTCTGAAAGAAAAGTTTCCAAAATGCCACCATTTTTCAGAACTGAATAAACTTGCTGCAAGAGGCTTGTCTTACAAATGAAACAAATGTGGGTTAACCTAAAAATTGCCTCAGTCTCCAGTGTACCATTTAAGTTAACATAAGAGATGAAAGCTGCTCCTGATTCAATCCCATGGCTCCATGAAATCTAGAGTCCTGAATACTATACATTATACATAGTAGACAGTAGTGGTATTTACACTGTATTTTGAAACTGATGGAAATTGAATGTTAGGCAAGTAAGAATCATTAACCTTATGTTTGTAAGCCAGTAATACTACAGTGGGAAGCTAGTAAGCCAGTGGCCATTAGATAAATACCTTTCAAATGTGAGGTGAGAAGATTAAAGTCATCTTTAATCAAGATTTTTAAATACTTACCTGTAACACTAATTTGTGACCATTATGAATCTTCTAGCCACATTAGGGGTAAAAGTATAGTTGGCTGCTTAAAAGTATGTATCATTCTCAGTCCATTCTTAACAAATCATCTTGGGTTAACCCAGTACGTAAGGTTGTGGGGAAGAGTCATACATAGTTGGTGTCAATATAAATTCATGGTTTCCAATCTAACCTTACATATCTGCGGTTTGTCCCTGATCAAAATACCCTAAAAATCCTTAGCCTTTCACAAAGTTGGGCCATCAATTAATGCATTCACCTTCACTGTAGTGTCCTGCCACATTGTGTTGCATTTATGTTTCATGTGTTCAGTGGACTAGGCTAATGTTTCCCAGGGTAAATTTGAGTGTGAAGGAAACACAGAAGAGGAGTTCCTCCACTTCTTCTAAATTCTGGATTTCCTGACTTAAGAGTAAGTAGTTTGATTTCAAAATTCAATTGATGGGTTTCCCTGAACCAATTTTTCTCAAGGATTTCAAAAGGCTCAGTTTAATTGATTTCCGGAAAATATTAATAGGCTCATAAAACTTCTTGAGACCTAAGACCTAAATTACTTTCTAAAAAAAAAACTATACATTTGGATTTTGTGTAGACGTTGTTTAATGAAAGGAATAAATGTCTATTAAACTAAAACAAATGGATCTTCTGTTATCTTTTTTTCATCTAGTGATAATTTACTTACCTGAACCTGCAAAAAGGTATCAAAATGTGATGGTAGAAATAGTTAACATAATCTGAGGGAAAAACATGTAGTCTTTAGAGTTCTCTCTTGGTTCTTTGATCATTGCATGAGTTAGAAAAACATTTTCAGCCAGGCACGGTGGCTCACGCCTGTAATCCTAGCACTTTGGGAGGCCGAGGTGGGAGGATTCCTTGAGCCTAGGAGATCTAAACCAGTCTGGCAATATAGCAAAAGAGGCCATCCCTGCAAAAAGAAAAAAAAAAATACTAAACTTTTTATCTGAAACTATTCCAGGTGCTAATTTGGGAAGGAGAAGAGGGAGGGTTTGGGCCAAAGGTCAGGATCGTCTGTCTACAAGAAGGAGGACTTGATCCTGTCCTTGCTACCCTACAGTTTTATCTCCACGTGGCAGCCAGAAGGATCCTGTTATAAAGCGATCGTGGCACTCCTGTGCTGGAAATCGAAGTCATAACATCCATGATCTTCCCCTCTCCTACCATGTGACCTCATGTCCTACTGCTGTACTCACTCATCCCAGCGTCCTTGCTGTTCTCAAACACACCAAACGTTCTTTCCATACCTAATGCCTTTATGGTGGGAAAACTTTCCTCAGATGTCGCTTTATTTATTATTCCCTGTCCACCCCACAGGCTGTTCTCATTTGCTGTAACATTTCTATATCAGCATGTCATTCAAACATAGTTGATTATTCAAATTTTCCTTAGAAATACAGCAATTGGTTTCTCACAGCCCCACAAGGTATATTAATAGGTACTAATAAGCCTTTTTTGCCAGTGAAGAAACAGATTAAATAACTTGCTCAAGGTCACATAATGGCAGTCTGAATTCAAATCCTATAAGCTTAGTTTTGACTTTAAGTTTTAAATACATTAACGTTAAAAATTCAAAAGTGACACAATAGGCTCTAGAGTACAAAGTCTCCTGCCTCCCAGTTCCCCTCCCTGGAGACACTCAATGTGATCAGTTCCTTGGATTTTCAACAGGAGGTACTTTTTTGAATGTACAAACAATACATACGTATTTTTTCTTTTCCTATTTTACCCTAGTGATAGGCGATAATACATATTATTGATTGTTTTCATTTAGTTATATGTAATATCTCAGAGCTTTCCTGAAGAGCTTCATTCTTTTCTATGACTGCATGGTATTCCATCACTTCATGTGCCCAAATTTGCTTCGTGTGGCCCCTACTGATGGACATTTACAATTTTTCCAATCTGTTGCTATTACAAAAAGAAAATATGTACATAACATCTTAGTTCATGTGTAGGATAAATTTCTAGAAGTAGAATGGCAGACTTAAAAATTATATGTATTTTAATTTTAATAGATAATTGCCAAATTGTCTTCCATAGAGGGTGCACCAATTTATACTTCCACAAGCAATGTATGAGAAGACTTGTTTACCCACACCCTTGTCAACACGTTATCGAATTTTTGGATCTCTGCCAGTCTGTAAGGGGAAAATAATATTGTTATCTACTTTTATTTTGTATTTCTGACTGTGGCAGAGGCAAAAGTAAATGCATACCGTAGCTTTTTTCTCTAGTAACAACTAAACCATGTTTTCCCAGCCTCTTATATATTTATGTGGGAGTCATATTACTTCCCTCCAAGGAAAACAAGAGTTGGTATGCCTCTCCACACTTTTCTGGCCAGTGATACAGACAGCATAGCTACTAGATGGAAGAAAGCTGCTAAACTATCAGACTGCATGAGTGAGAAATAAGATTTTATTGTGTTAAACTATTGTGTTAGTCGTGTTTCGTTCTTACAGAAGCATAGGCTAGCTTGACCCTAACTAATTCAATAAAGTCGAGCATCATTTATACATTTAAGAGTCTTTTATGTTTGCTTTACACTGGCCTTCCATTATTATCCTTTGTCCATTTTTCTATCAGGGAATACTCCCTGCCTTACATGCCATGCTGTATTAATGAATTGGAAGGTAGCTGCCCCATCTCTAAAAAATAAAAATAATACTACTACTAATAAAGATGTACTCCATGTTTATTGAGGGTTGGTCACATTCCTCACTCCAGAAACCAGGCTGTTAAGGTAGATACTATCTGGAACATTGCCAGGTGCCCATAGCAGAAGGCAAAGAGAGCATGGTGAGCTTCTGCTCTTAAAGGTTGTCCAAAGTAAGCCCCATGGCTATGCCTGGTTCAAAGGGTGGGGAAGTGAAATCTTACCATGTTCCTGGAAAGAGAGAGAGAAACAAGTGTTCGTGAACAGCTCTGATGGCTACCACACACACTAATCCATTTGATTTTCTTTTTGTCTTTGTACACACTTAAGGTGTTGTGGAGAACAGCTGGTGTACCAAATGGGGAGCAGGAACCAGTGCAGTCCACAATGGTAGATAGAGTATTTTGTCACTGATATTGATTAGAATTGCCAGCATATGATGATAATAAAAACAAATACACTTTAACTTAGTTTTTGTTGTTTTTAAATTCTTTGTAGACAATGTAACCCCTTATTGAGTTGATTCATTTAGCAAAATATGGTTATCTGCACACAAATCTGCAACCAATTCATCTGGTACTTTATTATGTGATGGCTTCTTTCCTGTAAACCACACAAATATTCACTGAAAAATACTTTACATTTGTGCTATTCAATACCATAGCCACTAGATACCTGTGACTATTTAAATTTAAATTAAATAGGATTAAAAGGCAATTCTTCAGTCATACTATACCTTTCATTTTTCTTTCTTTTTTCTTTTTTTTTTCTTCCTAGCTACTAGACAATCAGGGAACGCTATATATTTCAAATGCTCAATAGACACATTGGCTACCATACTGGACAGCACAGAAAACATTTTGACCACCACAGAAAGTTCTATTGTACAATGCTGATTTAGACCCTTGAAATTCTTTTTTCTTTTTTTTGTGGCATTTCCCAGTAGATGAAGATGAGGCATCTGAAGTCTGGTTTTAGTATAACAAATGTTTGCTGTGTAGATTTCATATCAGAATAGTATTTGTAAAAAAAAAAAAAAATAGTATTTGTTGCTATAGGGTTTTTTTGTTTGTTTGTTTTTGTTTTTTTATGAGACAGAGTCTCACTCTGTCACCCCAAGTGAAGGGTAGTTGTGTTCATCATAGTTCACTTCAACCTGAAACTCCTGGGCTCGAGTGATCCTCCTGCCTCAGCCTCCCAAGTAGCTGGGATTACAGACATGTGCCATGATGCCTGGCTAATTTTTCTATTTTTAGTAGAGACAGGGTCTCCCTTTTGCTCAGGCTGATCTCAAACTCCTGGGCTCAAGGGATCCCCCCACCACCCCACCCCGCCTTGGCCTCCCAGAGTGCTAGGATTACATGTGTGAGCCACCGTGCCCAGCCAAGTTGCTACAGATTTTTTTAAGTGTATAATTATCATTTCCTTTGTCAGGTTAATATAGAGTTATTAGAAGTTTGTTTTTTTTTTTTTGAGACAGAGTCTCACTGTGTTGCCCGGGCTAGAGTGCCGTGGCGTCATCCTAGCTCACAGCAACCTCAAACTCCTAGGCTCAAGCGA